TACTTAATAAAGTTCTAAGTTCTCTATTAGTTCTTTAATAAATATAATCTTTTGGCTTTAAAAATAAACTTCTCTAATGAACCACCACAGTGAAGTAACATTCTACTTTGATACTATTGGGAGTCCCCCTTCTGTGTCTTATGTTACTTGGGGTATATTAAGAAGGCTACACCACTTGTAACAATATTATAAGTATACAAAGCTCAAGTTAACCTCAGAAATAATTCTTACCAAAGTAGTTATATACTTATTTTACAGATTTACCTAAATTAGACTCTTGTCGATATTTGTACAAACTTAGTTTCTACTATAGCTTTTCATCAGATATAGTCTTTCAAGTTCCAGTCAGATATTTCATGAAGTAGATCTTCTTAATTTAGTTAGCTGCCAAGCCAAGTTGGTATTAGCATTAATACAAGATACTTAGTTATATTACATAGCAAACTTATTTGTATCTACTCAATTTATATCCTTCATACTTAGGTTTTTCACTAGATTAAGCATTAACTAGCTTGACTATTAAAATCTATACTACTTCACTAAACTCAAGATTTCTACTATACAGGTCCTCTGCCTGTAAATCCTATTAAAATTTATTTATGCAATATAACTCGAACATTAGAACACACTTCTAATGTTTAATTGATATTAGTACAATATAATTTACAAAGTTGTAACTTTCAGAAATAAACAGAGTTTACTGTAAGTTAAATACAAAGATCTGAGTAATTATTCAAATTTGTCGATAATAGAATTTGAACTCCAGATCTCTTGTATGTATTCTGGCAATCTAACTACTATACAAAGATCATCAGATTTGTTATCTTTTTATTTTTTATTTTATTCAATATTATTATTATTATTATTATTATTTGGTGATCTTGCTTATCATTTTATTAAGAAAAAGCTAAATTAAGCTACAAGTAAAATACTATACTAGTTATAACATACTATTTTTCTAATACTAGTCAGAATTCATTCAGCTACTTTATAGCATCTAAATACAATCTGCTGCAGTAACTATTTCTCTTGTAAAAACTATTAGTTTAAATATACAAACTTCTAGTTCTTAGTCAGCAAGAGACTACTACTAGCCTATATTAAAATTACTTATTTTATTTTAGAATATTCTCAAAATATTATTATTATTAAACAATTAAAGAATTATAACTTTTTTTACTACTATATTAATCTTACTTAGGCTCTTAAATAAAGTTGTGTACAAGAACTTTCTAATTCTATTAGTACTTGAAATGTTAAGATTGGTTCAGTAAATCATGAGTTATACCTATTTTAATTTTTGTAACTATAAATTTCCTCTTTGCAAATTTGTAAAAAAAAACTTATAGTTATAAAAACTAAAATAGATATAACTTATAATTTACTAAACTAATTTTAACATTTCAAATACTATTAGAATCAGAAAGTTTCTGTGCACAACTTTACATAAGAGCTCCAGATAGGTTTACTTGATAAAAATATAAGTTTCTTTAAAAAATAATATTTATATAATGAGAACTTTAAAAAATTTTTGAAAACATTAATACTATAAATTTAGCTCACTTGAGAATATAATTTTGAATTTGAATTTTAAACACTGCTAGTATCTGCAGAATTAAAATAAAAAAAAATTATTAAATTTGATTAAGTAGTTATCATACTATTTTAATTGAAGTTTTAAAAAATTAGTATATATCTATAAGTAAATTTTTATATAATCAATATATATCTATAAACTCTGAAATTTTTTATAATGATATAGGTAATATTGATAAAGATAATAAGTTACATGTTACTCGTAGCAATTCTCTTATTAAAACTAGTTATATAAACCTAATTTAAATAAATAAAAATATAATATCTTTAATTGTTTTAATTTTATAGATATACACATGATTTTAACTAATCAAATTGTTTAATTTTAATAATAGCAATAATTTCAGTAGAAAAAAAAATTTAAAAAAAGCAAACATATACAAAAAAAAAAAAAAAAAAAATACATAATATGTAGTATTTATTACTAAACTTTAACAAACTATATACTTTGTTATAAAAGTTTTATTATAAACAATTAGCAAGCTTAAATATACTACGTACAAGTACTAAACCTATTGAAATATTAAACCTATCAGCAATCTTATATTTGTCTCAAATACATAATCTAAGCTTTCGTATCCCTAAAAGAACAATCAATAATTATTTTATTAGTCAACTGTATTATAATGCTATTCATATTAAACAGTTAGTTGAAACTTAACAAAAAAACAATTTTAGTAAAAATATTGTTACCTCTTATTTAGTTAATTATATATGTTATATGTCATTTTTCAATTTACATTGATTTTTAATTGACACCTGTCATTTTTCAATTTTCACCAATTAATAAACGACGCAGGTCAATTCTTAAAGCAAATTATATTGTAATCAATGATGGCTTATGACTAACAGAACTTATTACGTATTTATTGATACGAATGATAGTGAATAAATAAAATTTTAAAAATAGTTTTTTTAAGAAGTACTTATTATACTTCATTTTTTCTTCATTAATAATTATATTTCATTTTTTTCTTCATTAATAATTGTACTTCATTTTTTTCTTCATTAATAATGAATCCACAAAGTTGTTCTTTTCTAACCTGTGAGACTTATATAAATTAAAAAAATAAAATAAGATAAAATAAACGAAGCTTGATGGACAGCGCACGATACAATAAATGTCTATATAAATAAAGATATTCAGTATAACCTAACGTTTAAACATTAAGTGATTAATACTTTTAAAGTTCATCGCGTTGGTACTATATAACTTCACATACGTATACAAGACAAAAATAATATGAGAACCCAAGAGTACGTGGTTGAAAATTTCTATGAAGTTATTTGTAGAAGACCTGGCGAAAGGTATAACTTAAAAAAAAAAAAAAAAAAAAAATTATATAAATAAAATATATATATATAAATAAAATATATATATATAAATAAAAATATATATATATATATATATTTATTTATTTATTTAATAATAAATAAATTCATATTCTGCAGTTAGTCAAAGAAGCTGTTAATAAATGTAAGGTATGCGTTACTCAGAGAGTACCAAAAAGAATATGTCCAATTATTTCTGAATTATATACAGACAAGTGAATAATTTAAAAAACTTAATATTAATATATATGTTATTAAATAGATATTATTGCTATGACACAAATTTCTGATGGGGGATGCAACTCAAGAGTACCTGAACTAACTCAAGAATGCTTAATCTACGAATGTTCAACTTATACATTTAAAAATTTTTTAAATTTTAATAAAAATTTTACTAACAATAATATAAATTTTAACTAAAGTAATAATACAAATAATGGAAATATTGATTCAAGCTGAAGACCTCGTCCAAATTCTTGTTATTGCTGAAAAATTAATTGTAGTATGAAATCATGCTCTTGTAAGAAAATAATTCTTATATTCAAGATGCTGTAGATATATTTTACGTAGATAATACAAAATTAGTAATTTTATTAATTTGAATACAGTATGTTCAGTTAAACGTATATCAATTAGCATTTAAATAAATATCAGAAATTTTTTTTTTTTTAATCCATAAATTTAATACCGATTGAAAAATGACGTATATTATTTTCAATTGAAAAATGATATGCATCAATTAATAATCGACATAAATTGAAAAATGATGCATAACATATACAGTATATAAAGTGATTTGTGTATCTAATAAATAGTGAAGATATTTTGTTTATCACTAAAATTTTTTAGATTTAAGATTCTCATCTAATCAAAAATTATAGTAAACATGTAAAGATCATTTTAAAATCATTGCAAATATTTCTAGTTGATGTTGATGGATATTCTAACTTATAAAAATTCATGGTAAACTCACGGTAGACTCATAATAGACTTATACTCGAGTTAGAATTAAATTTCTAGTTATAATAACGAATATAAAAAAATATTTAATTATTATCTAGATAAATCTGATTGATGTGATTAGTAAGTTCTGTTGTACAAATTTGGAAGATCATTTGGAAATATCACACAAATCAGTAAAAATCGGCCTATATGTTTTAACCTCTTCCTGAAAGTTAGTTACATATCAATATATACCAGTATATCTCTAGAATATTATTTCGGTACTGAAATATAAGATATTTTAATACTATCTGTTTTGCGATAATTGGTAATCATATTCAAGAGAGTCATATTCTCTCAGAGCATAATGATGAAATGAGATAATTCCTGTTGACAAATTGTAGTGATTTTTTGGTAGTAACTGAGAAGCATTAGCCAAAAATATAAAAAGTTCATTCCAACTCATATCTATTTTTTCAAACAATTATTCCTAAAAAAAATTTTTGAACATTATTTATCTTTTCTAACTTGTAAAAATTAATACGAAACTATATAATTTCCACATTGTCAATATAGGATAGAGTGTTTGATCTTAGACTGAGATTATTGCTTCAGAACCTACAAAGAAACATTCAGTAGATAAATTGTTCAATAAAATAAAATACAGACTTTCAAAAAATTTACTAGTTATTTGAGAAGTGATAAAGGGAATTTCAAATATTTTTTTAGTGACTTATTTTGAAATCCAAGCTGAATATTTGCTTTGTATATCTTTCAAAAGAGAATCATATACTAATTTAATTTCTCTTTGTAGCTTTTCTACATCAGTTTGTGATTTCTTAGTTATGTTAGGCAGGTACGGCTTCTGATCTTCAAAGAATCTAATTAGAAATTGCATTTCAGAGGTAACAAAATATATAGTTCCATCTGGCTTAATTTTGCAGATTTCTCTATTCTCCTTTTGATAATCAAGATAATTCATAGTTGTACTTAAAGTGCTTAAATAGATGAAATATTTGGAGGAAATGATAGGAGAACATTTACACAAAATGATCGAATATTTAAAAATATTTAATCATTTACTTTTCATATATCAGATTTTTAATACGATTAATAATATCTTTTAGCAGAGTTTCTACGAAATTTACTCAGGTAGCTTCAGAATTTACTAATTGAGAATTTATACCTATTTTTGATAATGATTCACAGATAATTGTCAATTAAACAAATATAATAATTAATTTATAATAACTAATTAAAATAAGAATATAAGAATATGAACAAATAAATACATAGTAGATGCAATTTGCACAGCCAAATGCCCCTCCTTAGATGTCAGAAATTCTGGCCTTTCAAAATAGTGAGAATTAAAATTTGATTGTTTATAAATCTTGAAAAACCATTCTGCTATCTTCCTTGATAATGAATGAGCTAGTTTTTCAAATTGATGATCATTCTGATTTATAATTGCATCAAACTTATCAGGAACTTTAATATATAATAATGGGTGTGGAAAGGTTGCAAAAAAGATAACCAGACTGTATTGGATCATTATGTACAACACAACTTAGGTTATGTTGAAGTATGAGATCGATAATAGGATTGTTCTCAATCTTTGTATCCTTAAAGCTGTCAAAGTTAAAAACTTCAGATGCTTCTTGATGATCTTGAAGACTTGAATTACCAGATACGATTACAAAGGAAGACTCAGAGTAGTATAATAAATATTCCTAAGATAGATAAAGTAAAAATATAAATGCTCAAAAGAATTTGGATTATTTGAAACTATAGATAACTTGGCCTCATATTCGATATAATAAAAGAGAAGAATAATAAAGAAAAAAGTGTATTAATCAAAGAGAAATAGCCCAGTAATATAGATATGAAGAGTAAACCTTGAAACACATTGGTGGCATAATAATGTGAAACTGGCCCAAACATATTATACCACCGAGTTAATCTAAAACTCAAGGTTTTTGCAAAGTACTGAATAGACAAATAGAAGGCATATAAAAAAAATATAATCAAAAAGTATGAATCAAAGGCATGTCTACTAACAAATATGAAGAGTAAACCTTGAGTCTATTTATGGACACTGGCCTAGTATATTCATTAAAGATATAATCATAGACAATGAAAAGAATAAAGTAATAAATAAACAAGCTGTTTTACCAAAGCATTCTTAGCGATATTTTTAGAGTTAGTAAGTTGGTTTGCTTTCTTCTTTTTGCCATTTCCAAAGTATAATTTTATACTAACGTAGTAAATTTCCATTAGTTATGTATTGCTTGTTTAGACTATGGGTTGTGGTGTATTCTGCTACCTAATTAGCAAATGTCTCATTGATATGTTATCAATTTTTGCATTTTGTATATATGGCTATAATAAGATATAAAAAGTGAATATGAATAAGTTTTGTATCTTTAACTAGTATCTTATACTTAGAGAACATTTATAGTATATATGGCATCCACTCACTTTTTGTTCTGTTCCTTAGAGTCCTATAACAAAGTTCAACTTAGACAAATACAAGCTTTCGCATATTTGATGGCAGAAAATATTTAGGCAGTATTAAAACTGCAATGAAAAACTTACATTATCCTTCTTGAGTTGACAACACTCTAATACATATAGTTCCTTTTCTTTATATTGATGACGACCGCAAATAAATTTATACTCCATGAGTTACATTAAATCATACAAAATTTACTCAAAGTTGAGGAATCATATGAAATTTACTTAAAGTTGAAGAATCATACGAAAGTTGAGGAATCAGTACTTTTATGAGAAGTTCAGATATGAGTTTAATTGACTATTTTGGTTAAAAAATACTTGTAACTCATCTCACAAATAAGTTATACATAATGATAAGCCTCATAAGGAATTTTATTCAAAATTTTTGTCAATCTTATACATATAATTATTTTTACTAATATTTGATCTTCTGATAATGCATATTTTAATACTAAATATGTTGTGAAAAGTCAAATATATTTTAGTGTGAGCTAGCATATACTGATACGTGCTAAAACAAATTATAGTAAATAAAATTCTTACGTAGTGAATGAATGCATTAAAAACCAAATCAAAGAAGATACGTATAACTTTATTAATTTTATAGATATATGAGGGCTTTGCAGTTAAAAGGCCGAAATGCCGCAGAAATCACAGAATCAGGTTGTATACAGAATAGGTTGCAGATACCATAAAATTCTTGCAGAATGCAACTTTCAGTTCCATAACCTTTAACTAATCACAACAAAGAATTTATAACGTGAGAGCAAAAAAATTTACAACTAACGAAATTTGAGAATTGAAAAGCAGGTCTCCTTTTATCTGTAAATTTTCAGATATTATTGTTATGTATCAGTTTTAGCAGGCAAAATTTGCTAGTAAAAGAAACTCCTTTTTTGATTTTTCATAACAACATTGTAATTTTGTTGCTTATTGTTTTTTTTATTGATTTTTTGTATACTAACTAAAATAAAATAATTGCAAAATAAACCAATTTGAATATTGTTATTAAAATAGAATTGGTGCTAAAAAAGACAATTAATAAATATTTAAGAATTAAGTTTCATATTGTTATTAAAATATAATTGCTATTTAAAAAAAAACAAGTAAAGAGTATTTAAGTATTGTTAAAAATTAGAGATTATTGTTATAAAAAAGAATTAGTTTTATTTTTTAAATATAGTATAGCTTTGTACAAAAATATATAATAATAAATAAAAGCTAGCTTAAGTAGTTAAATATTGTGGTAATATTTTTTTTTTTTTTTTTATTCTTAGGTGATCTTGCCTTTTATTTTATTAAGAGATATACTAAATAAGTATAATGACAAATACGGAAAATTAAGACTAGTTAATTCTAAGACTACTTTCTTCATTGCAATTCCAAACTCATTTGGCTATCTACTTGGTACTTAAATACAATCTGCTACAGTAGTAATTTTCCTCCTAAAACTACATATATACTAAAGTATATGACCTTAATTCTAATCAAAAGAAGGCTATTATTAGCTATATCAAAAAAGTTTAGTTATTTGTTTTTAAATTTTAGCTATTTCATATACTTCCTTTTTGAATCCAATTTTCACTTTATTATTTGTTATCATAAATATTCTTTTTTCTTTATCAGATCTTGTTTCTTTCTTTTAAGCATTTATATCTAAGGTATTCTCTTTATTTGCTACTCTCCTTCTTTTCTCTTTACTTTGTTTTCTCTTTTTTATTCAGAGATCAATTTCTTTCTCTTTTTCCCAATCTATCATAACTTCATAATGGAATTTCTATAGTCTTTCATAGAAATTCAACTAAAAGAAATCAATAAACCAGATTATTACTTAATTTGCTTTAGATCTAGATGCCAAAATGTTTATCAATTTTTTGATATATTTCTTGTTAGTTAGACCATGGAAATGTAACTTTCTTCTTAGAATCTTCTCTTCTGATGCAGCATTTAAAAAGATCTTAGCTAGATCTTTACTTATTATTAAAAGATTCTACTTTTTTGAGATCTTGTATCTAATATCTTCTATAATTATTATTTCTATATGGTTCTAAATCTTTTGATATATAACGTATTCTGCTAAATGACTAAATATTTCCTTAATTATACAGCAAGCTATACATGTTTCTCCTTTGTAGAGATCTGGTCTTCTTTGAAAACAAATATCACATATTAGAAGTAGCTTGTTTAGATATTTTACTCTAAATATTAGTGCTTTGCTTCTTTTAAAGCTAGTGTATTTTCTGCCTTAGTAGTTTTTGAGTATACTCTATAAGCTTTTCTAATTGATGCTGTCATTACTATTATTTTCTAGTCTAGCATATATTATATCTCTTGAGCTACTAAGTTCTGTTTATTTAGTTTTATATGTCATTGCTGTTGTGATATTTAAAAAGATCTGATCAAGCAATCTATGAGCTTACCTTCCTATTTTGGAAAGACTCTTAGATTATCTATATTCATATTATTAGCTATAACAGATATGTTCGAACTTAGACCCTCTTTTGCTAATACATCTGCTCTATTATTCTAGAGATTATTATTGTGTCCTTTAACTTTTGTCAGATTA